ACAGGCAGACTGACTGAAATACACTGCTGAGGGGAGCAGCGGGTGAGACAGGAGAGGTCTGCTGTGCCATGTGGGTTAGTGCCCGTGCTGGGGATAGAACTCATGCTGGGAGCTATCGCAGTGGCCAGCAATAGCTTCATAGTGCTGAGACTTAACCCCTTATGCCACCAGGAAGGCCCCCTTGTTTTTTTATTTTGGTAGGAAATTTTATGATTTACTGTGTTTGTTCTCTGTTTAAATGTAATTAGTTTGATGTTGGGCCAAAATCAATCACTGGTGTGTTTTGTCAATATATGTCTATATAGTTCACATGTATAAATAGCTGATGGCTACATATCCAAGGTAGTCACAAGAATGTTAGTAAAGTTTTAAATTGCTGCAAGGTCTCCAAATACTTTGTCAGCACAACTTATAAGGTAAAAGATTTACAGTTCTTTTCACTTCATCTATGGAAATTTCTACTGTAGGCTTATTTCAGTGGGTAAGTGTGTTTGGTTGTGAGAAGCAAAGACTAAATTAAGCAAATTTGGCAATTTAAAAAAATTTTAGCAATAAACAATCAGCAAATTGATTGTTGCTTACATAATTTGTCAGCTCATTCTTGGCAACTTTTTAATAAATTGATATTTAGTAATGTTCTGAATGTATAATATTATCCCCATCTTCATATTTAAGCCAGAATATATATTATGTGAAAGGACAGGAAAACACCTTATGGTCCTTTGATTAGACTAGTGTTAAGTGCTCTATCATATGCTGCATGCCTAATAGGTCATGCATTATCTTGAAACAATGGAAAGACATTGGAGATTTAGCTTCAGGATATAGATAAGATGAGGTTTGTGTTTTATGAAGACAATTACTGCAGGTAATTTGAAGGCAACGAGGAATTGAGGCAAAGCGATCAACTTAGAAGTATTGCAATAATCTCAGTGTGGAATAACGAAAGAACTAGCTATAAATGTGGCAGCAAAGAATGGTGAGGAGAAGATATAGTCAAGAAATACAGGTAATCATATTTGATTAAATTTATTCTGATTGAAGTTATCCTTTTCTATTGAATGATATGAGCAAGCATGAATCATAAACAGAAACATTGATATTTAAACTATAATTCACTTCAAAACTAAAAATCAGTAACTGGAGGGTGATCAAGGATTCATACGCAATTCACATCATATAAAAACTGGCTAAATTAAATGTAACAGCAGATCTGCTTGGCTTTATTCCAGTTCCTTCTCCAGATGGTTTGCCCCTGTGCAGGTAGAGATATGAAAATGAAAAGTGATTACCTGCTAGCCTGGTGTTTCTATGCCAAATAGAATTATTTACACATTTCTTTCAGATTAATAAAGAACATAACCATTCAAAGAAGAAAACTTTGTTTAAAAGACTGTGAATGAGACTTGGATGAAAATCAACCTAGACAAAGCTTTAAAATGTCTCCAAAAATCTTCACTTTCCTTTTTATCCTCTTTCTAAGTAGTCCTTGCAGGCCAACAGTCAAAATTGCTCTCAGAAATAAGATGGTTGCAATAACCTACTGTATTCTTCTTCTCAGGATAAAATAGTTTCTATTAAACTAAAAAACATATAATGTGTGCATTAGTAGCCACTATTGAAATTAATAGAAAAATAAGAAAGAAAGTCTTTGTCTTAGCCCAGGCATGAAATCACATTAATATTGAATATGTTATGGGGAAATGCTTGGTTTCATAGAACACTAATTCTAACTCAAGCTACAAGGTTAATATGTTTGTTTAACTTAGTGTTTTCAGGCTCATTAGACAGTGTTTAGACATTACATATTATAATTATTAATCATATCTTAATGGAGAAAAGAACTGTATCCCACCAAATACCTCAAAATTATTATTCATCTTGATTCCTATTAATTTTACAAATGGAAAAACACTAAGGATGTACTTAAAGATTTGTGCATATGATACAATTCATCTAAATCAATATCTACATAGGATTTTAAAAATATTTTCTAAATGTCTTAAAAATAAAAAACATTTACATTTATTTAACTATCAACTTCTAATTAGAAATTACAATAGTAACTGGATATTGTAGAAAAAATATTGATTTTGTTCTCTCCTTTATTCAGTAACCATAGAATATCATAAAAATTCAATGCAGTCTGAGTTTTCCAGCTAGCATTTAAAGATTCATGGACTTTAAAGGATATTCATCATCTGTCTTCTTGAGCATTTATGTTCCAATCTATAGCACTATAATCTCCTTAGGAGTTTGGATTCATAATTTTCTCTTAGAACTTTAACAGAAACAGGCCAACTTTATCATTGAACTTGAATCTTTAAATAGTTTCTCTTTCAAATACTAACCATGGGTTATTAATTTAAATGTTCCCTTTGTGGTTCCATCAATGAGACCTTATAGGTATGATCTGTAATTATATCACAAGGTTGTTAATAAATACAATAAAATAAAATAACTCAACTTTTAGATTTAATGTAAGGTATCAGCAAAAAGGTAACATTTATATTAATGAAAGCTACTTTTGTTTTAAAAGATATTTGTAAAGCAAAAATGTAAATGTGTTTAAAGTTTAATATTTTGGTGAAATAAAAGTATATTCAAAGATAAGACTAATAAATTGTATCCCAGATTTACTACTCACTTTGTAACCATTTTAATATAACATTTTGTTTTTCCAAATTATACTTTTCCCTTCTTCTATTTTGGGATAATAAAATTTCACCTTTTGATTTAAATTTAAATAGAAAACATATATGTATGTTATATATGTATTTTTACTCATAAGTCTAGTATTGCGTAGAACGATTGGGAAGTATTTGATAAGGATTTAGCATGCTTATACATAGAGTTTAGAGAAGATGAATGATATTTATTTGTAATATAAATATATCTAGATTAAATTTTGGTGATGTATTTGATAGAAAGATATGATGTTGTGAAAACCTAGATTCATAATAGAATCTAAAATTTATTCTTATCTAAATGGTTGCCTTAGGTTAGAAATACATCTTCAATTATTTTATCACTAAAAATGCACAAGTGGGCCTCCCTGGTGATACAAGGGGTTGGGTCTCAGTACTATAAGGCTATAGGTAGCCACTGCAGGACAAGTTTCATCCTGGCCAGGGAGCTAAACCACATGGTACAGCAGACCTCTCCTGTCTTGCCCGCTGCTCCCCTCAGCAGTGTATTTCATTAGATCTGCCTGTTCTGCTCCCCACTCTGCCTCTGGTGAATCCTTTCATTCAGCACACCTCTGACCTACACCCCAATTCTTATATGCATAAATAAAAATAAATCTTTAAAAAAATTAAAATACACAAGTGGAAATCCACTTCATGCATGATGAAACAGAATATAAAATTGTAGGAAATACTTAGTTTCAACCAGAAAATAAAGGGATGATGGATGCAAGGACTGGAGAAACAAAAGAGTTCATTCAATGAATAGAAAATAGCTTTAATATGATAGATATTATCCTTCTCTATCAAAAGAAATTTGGAGAAAATATGTTAATTTTAGACAAAGCACACTTTAAAGCAGGTCTATTTTAGTAAGGAATATACTATAATAATGGTGCCAATGATGAAATAATATAGAGCTAACATCTTAAGAGATGTTTTACCAATAGGGCTAAGAACAAGCTATGATATTCTCATCACCATTTCACTGCTCTTCAACATGCTACTGGTATATGAAATATGAACGAGAAGAAAAGAGAAAAAAAGAACATAAGAGGAAGGGTGAGGAGAAAAGAAGAGGAAAAAATTATATATCAGAAAGGGAGAAATTAAACTATTTTATTTGCAGATGACAAAACTGGCTATGACAAAATCCTAAATATTTTCTGAAAACCTCTGGGAATTAATAAGTAGGTAGAGCAAAGCCACAGGATACACAGTTGCCTAGGTTAAAGAAATATGGGTGCTCTGATGGTGGATGTGATTTTTAAGATATATCTGAGGAGGTGTGAATCTATCCCTTAAAGCATGCATAGTATTATAAATGAATGTTACTTAAAGAGAAAAAAAAGTCAGATCAGACACCTCAATGGTGAAGATATACTAATGCATAGAAACATTTGACAATATCTCACCTATAGTATTGGGTACAATGTTACCTCAAAGACCATAAATAGTAGGTGACAGGAGTCTTGGTTCTCCCATAGTGGAGCTGATGGATAAGCAAGGGAAGAGGACGGGGTGATTCATGTTGTGATGTGTTGCAAAGATATACATTAGAATGAGCTGTATATAATTTAATATAGATATTATATTTGTATATAGCTTAATATACTATATTTGTATGTAGCTTAATATAGATATAGATGTATATAGCTTAATATAGATATAGATGGTTGCATATAGAAATATTTGAGGCTGTGTGTTTGTATAGAATGTAGTATACACATACACATTTTGTTGTCTGTTGGCAGAAAGAGGCCAATATCAACCACAGTCCATTAGCAACAAATTCTTTTTTGCTCCCAAAAATGTAGCCAGGGCTCACTAGAGAAATGCATGAGTCTGTGATGCGATAATCCTGGATTCACTTTTAATGTCTAGAAATATCAAGAAAGACCTAAATAAAATTGTAATAAAAGGGTACAAAAGAACACAGGAGTCAACTATAAGTGTTATCAATGGCTAAAACTGGAAGAATTTGAGCAAGAAAGCAAATATTGTTGGATTAAAACCCATAATAATAAAAATCTGTGTTCACCCTAATTTAAATCAATGATTAAATAAATACATGGGGGGCACATAGATAGCCTATACACAATAATTAATGTAGATACTCTGCTCTCGATATGAATTATAATGCTCTACTCATTAAGTAGACAGAAGGAAGAATGCACGATGGTACAGTGGAGAGACCTGAGAATATCAGTCAGGTGGTCACCACCTGCATCAAGGTGACAGGCTATGCTTATAGTATGCACTTTTGATATGAAGTGATGAGAAGGGACTTCTACTTCTGTGATTTCATTCCAGGAATGCAAATGCAGTCTAATCATTTGAAAATTTCAGAGAAATTCCACCTGCAGAACTTCTACCTGTATCCTCCAAACTGTCAAGACCATCAAAAGATAGTCTAAGAAACCAACTGAGTCAAGAGGAGCCTGAAGAGACAAGAAAACTAAATGGAATATGGTTTCTTGGATTGGTTCCCAGCAAAGAAAAAGGAATCTAGGTACATAGTAAGGAAATAGGAATGAAAAATGGACTTCAGTTAATCATAATATATCAATATGAGCCCATTTGTTGTAACAAATATGCCATTCTAGTGTAAGATGTTACTGATAGAGAAAACCAAACATGTTGTTTATGGAAACTTACTGTGTTAATTTGCATTTTCTGTAGTGTTCAAAGTATTCTAATTTAAAATGATTATGTTAAATATCTTTTACAAAAATGACACAATAAAGCAGAGATTAAAATATATTGAGTTTCCTTTTATAACCTAGAGTATCAAAATACACATATCATGATTCAGTTGTACATTTAGTCTTATAAAAAAATTTATACCATCTGCTATGTTCCAAGTATATTTATTTAGAAGTGCAGGCTAAATGTTAATATATCTAAATATTATAATTGCCCCAAAGTTTGGAAAATATGACACTTCTATGAGTAACTTGCTCTTTAATTGCTTGCTTAGCATTTATTTTGTCACCTATTGTTTATTTTACATGCAATCATATACTAGCTTTATTCATACAAAAATGAATCATGTAAGTTGGCTGCTGGAATGTACATTAGAAAAGCATTAGACTTGGGAACTGTGGGTATATTTTCTGGATCTGCCATTTACAGTAATGTAATTCTAGGGTAGAAGTCTGACTATATATATATATATATATATATACGTTTTAGTTTCTCCTTCTGTACATTGGAAATAGTAACATTTACACCAGTTGATTTGACATTTCCTTTAGGAAATACATAATAATTGTGATTTCAAATACTAAATATTGCAATTATATTTGGATAACACAATCTGATTCACATATTTGTACATTCACACTTTGAACTTCTTTGATATTGGTCATGATAATAGATAAAGTGAGAACTGGAAATGAGAGAAATGACAGATCAATTACATTTCAAAGAAGAGATAGTGCTAGCTGGAGAAACCCATATCTGCCGAAAGTGGGAAGTGGATAAAATGAAAGAACAAAGAGAGGGAATTTAGGGACTATGGAGATAAAGGAAGAAGGAAAAGATGTGGCTATATCTCACAAAGAGATGAATATTATGAGAGAGATATGTTACAGGGGGCCTTCTATTCAATGAGCTGCTCACAGATACCAGATTTTTCCTATAAGAAGCACAGTTACAGTAACTCTTAAAGACACTATTTATTTATTTATTTATTTATTTATTTTTGCTGTTGTGTTACAGGAAATTAGAAACTCATAAAAACAAGAACAGAGAAAAGCCTGCTCTCACTCAGTGTAACATGCCACATCCAGAAGGACAAGCAGCACAGATCTTCAGAGCCCATCCCTAAGGCAGCTTCATTCATGGTCTCTGGGTGGCTGATCCTGCTAACTGGCACCACAAGCCATGAATCATGTGACTGTCTGCCCAATTATGACCCATCACATGCTCCATGAACAGGACGGGAGTATTAAATGCTCACCTCATTTCATTTTTAGTGCATAAATATAAAGGTGGCACAGGCATACTAGACAGGCATCCTTTTTTTTTTTTTTTTTGGCGGGTCCACAATTCTCAGGGAGAGGGTTCCACGTGGATGCACCAACTTATTACTCATGTGCAGCCCTGACAACTGTACAAATGAGGGTCCTGAGTGAGGCAGGCCACTGCTGACTCAGCCAGCATCAATGCCACATGCAGAAGGGGCACTGCCAATTTCTGGCTTCATTTAACACATGCCAGAAAGCCCGTGGCATAGCTGTGCTGCTTGCAGAGAAAGCAGCACTATTTTGATGACTGTTTTCCTAACTGGAAGAAAAGGAAAAAAGAAAAAAAATTATGAAGGCAGCATGTCCACACACTTAACTCACTCACAGAACATGGTCCAAGTCACTTTTCTGTTGAGCATGAATATAAAGTGAGGCATTGGATTGTGCATTATTTTATGTTATTGATCATATAAACAGCAACTGTCAATTACTATAGGGCTGTTTTCTGGCATTTTGTCCTCATTACTATCTTGGTACTTAACCATATATTTTTTTACACTAATAAATTTGTTACGTGTATTATAAGAACTTTATTATTAGAATATAATTAAGTTAGAGTTCTCAGTATTCCCTTTATGTCTCAAATATCCAGAATAGTATTTTGCAAACAGAAAAGTGGTCAATGAAAATTCTTATTTATGAGTAGAGTGAAATGACTGCAACTAAATAGAGTGATCCCCCAGTCCTTTGACACATCTTCTTCAATATGCCAGAGATTAAAGTACTTAAGAATGTAACTTATTCCATCAAAGTCATGGAAGGCATGAGATAAGAGGGGAAAGTCATCATAAAAACCTCCCTAAGTGGCTACACAGTGAACTCCCATTTATGACTTGTGCTATATCTATAATAGATGTAATTCTTGTTCCTGGTCAGTACATGGACACATTTAAAATACTGGTGAGCCAGTTCAAGTTCAGGCAATATGACTAAGCTAGGGAAAAGGAAAAGCTTTGACATTTATTCTGCCACTGACAGTGAGACCTTGTAGCCCTACACTATTTCATTACTTACTTTCCAGTTGAGAAAGGAAAGCCTTGCGGACGCTCTGGGGCATGTCAGTGTTGATGCTGAATTTTGATGTACGGGTCGATGCCTTTTCCTCACTTTGGGCTATAACATTGTTAAGACACATTTTTGATAAGTGAAAACCGAAGTCCGTCATATTTTTAATACTACCTAGCAACGCCAGGCTATCCAGGTGCCGATCTGTAGGGCTCTGCGCAAAATTTACGCTGGAGGTTTTTATTCTAAGGATGAGGTTCAAAAATAGGAAATATGAAAAGGACACTTCAAAGAAACAACAACTGATGTGACTCTGTCACAGTTGCCTGATCCTGAGGAAGGAGGAGACACTTCCCATTTGTTCTGTGAGTCATTTGGGGAGACAACTGACAGTGACTAACATGGAAAGGTGTTGGAGGATGTGGCAATGGGTCTACCACTGAGGCAGGATCTGCCGCTGTGGGATTTTACCTGCCGCCAACCTGAGTTCAAGGCTGCCTTGTGTCTTTAGGGATGTACTCACAACTCACAGTTCTATAGGACTCTCTGAGAGAGAGAGACAGAGAAAGAGACAGAGACAGAGAGAGACAGAGAGACAGAGAGTGAGAGAGAGAGAGAAAGAGAGAGAGAGAGAGAATTTCAGTTATTTTAACAGGAATATATAATTTACTTCATACTTTAGGTGATTTGAACAACAACAACATGAAGAGTATCTCTAAAACTTAATTTAATAGTACTTAGTTCAAATAAAATTCACTCCAAATCCCCCATGCATACTTTTAATATCAATTTCATAGAGGCGTTATTTACATACAATGAAATACATGCACTTAAGAATACAATTTGATTCATTTTGAAAAATGTATTCACTTGCTATACATCTATTTTAAATTATATTCTTAACTTTTTCAAAGTTATACGGAGGCAGATGTTATGGGCTATATTGCAGTCTTTGAAAATATATATGCTGAGGTCCTAGGGCCTACTATTGCAGAATATAGTTTTATTTGGACATAGGATCTTTATATGAAAGTGACGAATTTAAAACGAGGTCAATAGGGTGAACACTGATTCTCAGGAGTTTAGGACACAGCACACATAGAGAGACAACCATGTGAGGGCACGGGGAGAAGACCGCCGACTATAAGCCAAGGAGACAGACTTCAGGAAAAACCCATCCTGCAGACACCTGATTTAGAATTTCCTGGTTCCAGGACTGAAAGAGAATAACGCAATCAAACATGTCAGAACCCACCTTTTGGTTCCTTTCTCCAGCATACGGCCATCTGTCTTGGTGCCTAGCAAGACCCCTGCCAATCTAGACTGGTTAACCTCTGGGTTTCTCACTCAGAGAAACTTTGAGCTTCTTCCCTGTATTAGGTTTTCTCACTGAAGAATTCTGTCTCCCCCTTTACTGTTCTATAGGTCCATGAGAAAGTGGCACATGGGAGATTTTTTTTTTTTTTTTAGATATATCACAACTTAAACCATATATTCTACCAACACAATCACTAGATATTTGGACTGGGGAGAAAATTTGAATTGGAAAGCATTCTCTTTTACATTTTTGAAAGCATTATGACATTATCACCTAGCTCTCATGACTGCAGAGAAGACTTATGCTAAACTTTGTATTTTTTTAATATTTGAACATGCATATTATTTTGTATCTGATTTTTTTTTCATATTTTCTCCTAATCTTTCATTTTAGGTCTTCTGTGGTTTTTTGGCCATTCATCCTAACATCCTTGGTATGCTGCTTCAATTTAGAAAACAACCCAAATACCCCAAAATAGATGACAGGATCAAGAAGATGCGGTGTGTATATACACAATGGAATACTATACAGTAATCAAAAAGATAAATTAATGCCATTCTCAGTAACATGGATGGAGCTAGAGGGGATCATGCTCAGTGAAATAAGTCAGAAGGAAAAAGAAAAATATCAAATGCTTTCACTAATAGGAGGAATATAGGGGAACTAATTAATGGATCAGGACAAAATTAACAATAAAACAACAAAACTAGCAGGCAACCATAAATCAGAGACATTCTGCAAAGAGTGGGAGGAAAAGGGCTCAAAACAGGGAAGAGAGGAGCACAAGGGAGTAAGGTGATGATTCACAGGTGAACTGGTGGTGGGAATTTTATGGGGACTAAACAATGATGTAAAAAATAAAAATAAAAATAAATTATTCATAAAAAAGGAAAAGAAAGTATTTAGTTCTAAGAAATGTTCTCTGATATTTGATAATTGCTGATAAATTCTCATTGTTTCTTGATTCTGCCTTTTTAGAATTCTTCCTAACTGAATTTGGAGTCTCTGGATTAACCTCTAATCTTTTATTTTCTTTCCTATTACCCATTATTTGGACAGCTGATTCTTTGTGAGGGATTTCCTTACTACAATTTTCTGCGTACAGCAGTTACAGTAAGCAGTAGTGCCAGTTTACCTTCCAAGAGTTCTTTATTTTCATATTGGTGACTTTTCTCTGTAAAATATTTTCTTTGTTGTATTGATTCAGCTCCTTCTCTTGCCTCTCTGGGGATTTGTCATAAATTTTCTAAAAGTTTTCTGTCATATTTTCTCTGTACATTTTATAAATTTTGAGGATATACCATTTAATGCAAAGAAGATTTGAATCGTTATGTCAACCTTTTATCATAGCATGTCAAGTAGGACTTCTTGACTTAAATTTCAGTCTGTCTGAAACACTGTACACACATCAGTGTGCTTTGTACTAGTGCTTGCGCATGAAACCCTTTTCTGTCCTTTTCTCTAAATTGTCCTATATGCTTATATCTAAATGTCTTCTGCAAAGAGCATCTCATTGTTGTTTAGACACTCCAAAAATGATTATGTTTTCTATTAAAAACTGACATAAGTTTTCTAAATTCCTGCTATGAGTGAGACCATCTGGTATTTTTCTTTTTCTTTCTGGCATATTTCACTGAGCATGATTCCTTCCAGCTCCATCCATGTTGTTGCAAATTGCATGAGTTTATCTTTTTTAATTGCTGAGTAATATTTCATTGTGTAGATGGGCCACATCTTCTTGATCCAGTCATCTAATTTTTGGGCATTTGGGTTGTTTCCACAGGTTGTTTCCATAGCTATTTACAACAGGTATGTTGTAAATAGTGCTGCTGTAAACATGGGGGTGCAAAAATGATGTAAAAAATATATAAAATTAAAAAAATAGTAATTAAGACAATAAAAAGACATAAAAAAGGTAACACTTAAGATATTTTCACTGTAAATTCAAATTGCAATGAATATCATTTCTGAGATGTTGCAAATATTAACACTGCAAAATAAAATATCTTCTAAAAAAAAACTGACATAAGATCACCTGCACAAAAAAGGACCCAAATGGCTCATCCCTAGAATAGTCACCTTTACTGCCTGGGACCTGTGCTACCTGGCCTTGGTCTCTTCTGGCAAGACACCCATTCCTTCACTTAATCTGAGATGTGATGTCTACAGATAGCATATCCAGAGGTAACCTATATGCCAGAAGAAAAGACCAAATGCTATTTTCAAGAGACTCAGTGTTTCCTGTTGTGCGGGTTTGGTGTTCTTCAGGGTCAGGTTCACAGCTTTGAGCTGGGGGATCACGCTGCTACTCACCCCTGTGACTGTTCATGGACCTGTGTCCCGTTCTTCAATACAGGGGCACAGTTTCATGACTCAGTTTACCCAAATATCACAAGTTTCATCACAGTGGGGCTCTTACCATTTCAGTCTAGTGGTCTGATTCACCAAGGAGTCCCAATACCTGCAAGTAAGAATGGCCCCAAAGCCAGCTGCCAGCCATGGAGGAATCATCTTTGCACTAGAATATTCCATGTATTTAAAGTTAGCAAATTCACTAAAGTATTTGGATTTGCACTGATTATTTACTTCTATATTCTATTTCTTCTATGTCCTTATCACTCTTCCTTCTTTCCTTCCTCCTATATTGCTTTTAGGTGTTCCATTTTTTCACTCTAGTAATTGGTTACATTTTTTTTCTTTTATTGATTACACTACAAGTCACAACATGCATTTTTTACTATTAAAGAATAATAATTAAAAATTGAGCCCTATTAAAAATC